ACAATTCTTCCTAACCCACCTCTCATCACTGGGTTGGCTCATGCCCAGAAATCTCCTTAATTGTTTCCTTTAATCCTTGGAAGTCCAACAAACCTAGATTTTCTCCCAAAATTTCTGCCTCAGAGCAATAACTCACATTTTTGGTATTTCTTCAGGTTTTACCTTTGTCATCCTAATTTTCTTGCTACATGTGGGATTTCTTTCTCTTGTCTTTGCTTTGGTTAGGTTTTCAGTTTCTGAAGGATACCCACTTGTACATGTCTTTAAATCTCACCACTTATCACATACTTATTTCTTGCTTTTCTGCTTTTGCTCCTTGTTCAGGTTGCTGGCATCCTCTAACTCTGTGGTTCATTAAGCAGCCTCCATGCTGAGTCTAAAGGTGTTAATTCCCTTGTTTTTTACTTTAAGACCTTTCTCAATAGATTCCTTTGATCATTTTTAAATATTCTTCTTCCTAAGGCTTAAAAATTTGTACAAGAAAGCTCTTCCCCCAACTTCTAAAAATAGGTTTGTGATTGCACATATCCATAGTGTTCCTCATTCTTGGGTTTTACTGATTTTTTTTTTTTTTTTTTTAATTGATAAATTCCCTGATTTTTATTTTTTATTTTTCACGTCATTTGGTTTTTACTGATTTACACCCATTTTTCAATTCAAATCCCTGTTAACTGGCATAAGTAGGGAATGCCCCATTCCTGACTCATGCCAGTTAACAGAGATTTGAACGGAAAAACTGGTGGTGCCGGTAAGCTAAAAGTGCCACTGTGCTGGTTAGCTGAGGCACAGGTGTCTGGCTGGACGCGGGGTGGTGGTGGTGGTGGCTGCATGTGGAGTGGGGGGTTGGGGGTGGCAGTGGCCATGCAGGGGCCAGAAGAGGGTGGCTGAAGCTCCTGGCTCAGACCCCAGGTGGAGTGGATCAGGATGGGCCATGGGGATTACTCCTGGGGCAGGCGGGTCTGAGCTGCACCCTGGTGATTCTAGCTTCGGCCCTGTCCAGGGCCCTGGGAGCTGCACCCCCCACCAAGGGGGCAGTTGGGAGACCACGGCCCCACTCCCTGCAGGCTGGGGCCAGTGGTGGCACCGGGCTCTTCCCGGTGCTCAGGGCAGGTGGCAGCTTGCTCGTCCCATGCACAGATCCAGGGGCGCACACATCGTGGGAAGAACCTGGCATAGCCCCCACAGCCTGCACCCCTCCCAGGGGGCACATACCCCCACATCTGTGTGTGGGACGAGAGCAGGCTGCCACCTGCCCCAAGAATTGGAAAGAGCCCAGTGCTGCCACTGGCTCCAGCCTGCAGTGGCAGCAAGCTGCAGCAAGAGCAGGCTGCCGAGCGCCTGGAAGAGCCCAGTGTCATCACTGGCCCCAGCCTACAGTGGCAGCCTGCACTCATCCTGTGTGCAGGTCCAGGAGCACGTGCCCTCTAGGAAGAGCCCAGCACAGCCTGCCAGCCTCCAGCCCTCCCAGGGGGTGCATAGCAGCAAGAGCTGCACCCCCTGCCCTGTGCCCTGCACCCTCCCCCTGCTTTGCTCCCTGCTGCAGCCCTGGGAGCAGCCGACAGTTCCAGCCTTACTCCTCACCCCCACCCCACCTCATCCCCAATTTAAACCAATTTTTTTTCCTTTTCTTCCTTTTATCCCAATTTTATCCCAGTCTTTATGTTTCAGAGAGAAACCCTGAAAAATTCCTGGGTTTTGTTTTGTTTTTTTAAATATAAACCAAGAATGCACAACACTGCATATCCAGTAGATTCTTTACATTTACATTCTTTCCTAGAATACTGAAATGCATTCTCAAAGTGGCTTTCCAATAATATTTTTACATTTGAATATTGCCTTTTCTTTAAACCAATAGAGACATATCAATTAGCATAAATTTTGCCTGCAAGGATTTTGTCACATATGAGTGCTTCAGATATGAATACGTAGGATTAAATTTTTGTAATGACGTGACATTTTGCAAGCCATATTTTTAAGGAAACAAAACTTAAGTGTGCAACAGCTGTAAATTGGGACCTCCACATACATAAGGAAGAGTGAATTTCTCAGTCAAGACTTGCCAGAAGGCTAAGAAGAAAAATAATTACTAGCAGTCGACTTTACTTTCCCTTTAAAGGCTTCTTTTTTTTTCCTTTTTAACAGATTTATTTGAGATTCCTGGATTACCAAATGGAGCATTCAAATGAGTGCAAGAGAAACTTTGTTGCAGTGTATGATGGAAGCAGTTCCATTGAAAACCTGAAGGCAAAGTTTTGCAGCACAGTAGCCAATGACGTGATGCTGCAGACTGGAACAGGAGTAGTACGGATGTGGGCAGATGAAGGTAGCCGACTGAGCAGATTCAGAATGCTTTTCACTTCATTTGTGGACCGTAAGTAGATTCTGAGCTGCCTACCCCTTGGTATATAGGTGCTACATGTAATTAAGGAAAGGCATCAGCTTTGTGTAATAGGAGTGGTAGGCATAATAACAATGTTGTTTCTTTGTTCCCTCTGATATGACCAGGAAAATTTAAGTGTTCTTGTTTTTGCTCACTGGCAGAAAAGGCACTATCACAGACTCTCATAATAACTAGCCTCAGAACTGTTACTTCTGACAAGGAGTTCTGCAGGGTCCTGCTTCTGAAGATCCTGTGCGTCCCCCCCCCCAAACCTAATGATTTAAAGTAGGCATTCCCAGTTATAATGCCTTTATGGAACATAATTGTACTGGACAGTCATGGAGAGTGAGGTGGTTTGCCATGGTATGTTAGACAGGACTGTGAATGTTGTTCTTGAGGTTCTCTTCAGATTGCATAAACAGTATTATAGGGATGTTCACAAGGCTCATAATTGAAGAAGTGTTTTTAAAAGCATGTTTTCCTTTGAAGATGTATCTAGCAGACAGGCTAAACTTATTAGCGTGTTCCTACTCCTTTGTGGATATAGCTTGATGTCACATAATTTAAATTCTTCGAAACAACCAGCAGGCTAAGAAGCATAAAAGTGACCCAAGCTTGGAAATGTAGAGCAAGCTTGGAAGGGTAGTATAAGAAAGCTAATGTGGAACCTGCATAAGGCATATCTGTCACCTGATTTAAGCAGAATCATTCTTCCAATTTGCTGAACATTACATTACCAAAAAATTGACCTGAAAAATAAATGTGCATAGTATAGTTTTGTCGGTATAAAAACAAGCAAAGATGGCAACATTTTCATTTCTCTGCTTTTTCTTGGATGCTCAGTGTCTAACAGAATCTTTCTGTTGTCTTTGCTTTGATTGAGTTTTCAGTTTCTGAAGGATACCCACTTGTACACCTCTTTAAATCTTGCCACTTAACTTTTAAAAGTTTAAATGGTCTGTTTCAGAAGACAGAATCTATTCTTCTGTTTCATAAAACACAGCTTATAAAAGTTACACGTTCACATAAAAATCTACTTGCCATGAAATATTTTTCTATAGCAGTGGTGATTTTTAAGATGAACTTCGTGCTATTTTATTAATATGACACTGAGAAACAGCTACAGATATTAAAGAAATATCTGGAATATAAATACAAAAATGCCTTAATTTTATCATAGGGATTTACTTTACTTTTGACATTGGGTGCTGACATGTGGACAGAGGAAGGGCAAACGCACTTTACTGGAAGAAGCAATGTGTTAGTTTGACCCAGGTCCACAGCATCTGTGTAGATCAAGTGTTTCAGCAGCACTTTTTGGCGCTTTTATCTAATGGCTGATTCAATCAGCTAGTAGATACAAGCGCCAACCCCCCCCCAAGTGCCTGATCTATACAGATGTTGGGCAAGCCAAGTCCAACTAATTCAGTGGCTCTTCTGGGCATGTACTGGGCTCGGCACGGGGGCAGGCAGAGTTTAAAGTAAAGCACTGGTTTGCGGGGGGGATTTACATCTGTAAGTGGCCATTGTGACTTTCCTTTTTCTGTTACTAGTAGTATGAAATTCTGGTTGGCAGTCAAAATTACAAAACTGTCTTGTTTTCTTCACTTCATTTCTTCCTAAGATACCACCATTAATACCAGTGATAGGGCTTGTGATACTGTATTTTAGTTTTGAATCTAGAAAATAAAGAATATCTTGAATACAGGGAAAATGGACAGTAATTATCCTATCAATATTAATATTTGCATTTTTAATTAAACAGCACTCTAAAGTGATAAACAGCTCTAAACATACCTATTCCTTCCAAAGACAGGACCTTAAATTAACTCAGCAAGTCTGCAGAAGTGCGTGTAGTTACTGTTATTTGTCTTCCAGGTTAATTTTTCTCCTCAAAAGAAAAGAAACTGATTCAATAAAAACATGATGCTGAAAAATAGGCATTTCAAGTTTTCCTTTAAAACAGTTTTCATTTAAAAAATATCTATTGATAAGCATAATTCCATGCACAAAACAATGAATTTTTACTTATCCCTTTTTCAGATCATTAGGCTATTTTGTCTTGTCTACCTTGCTAATGATCTGTAGTCATTTGAATCCATCCATGAAAACAATCAATATTTTTAAAAGAGTTACATAAATTAATTCATTCTGAATGACAGTACATTTCATGCCAACCCAGTACAGATTGCAGATGTAACTGTACCAGCCATCTGAAAGGGACAAGATAAAACTGAATGAGTTTTGTTTTTGCCTTGATTCAGCACATGAATACTATTACACACAAAGAACTACATTATAAAAGCAGTATTAATAGCGGAAGTTGAGCATTCCACCCCAGTTTGGATCAAGCCAAACAGGGAAAGTGCAGCCTTGTCTTTGTAGCCGTGGACTGGCCCTTGCTTGGCTGTTTTGTGTCGACAGAAGGTGCGTAATTTGTGAAGGGATATCACATGCAAAATCCACTAAGCAGTAGGGGCTGAGAAACCTAGCCATGCTCACTGGGGATGAAATCTTCAGAGATTCTCCATAGAAGTCCTAGCATGTGCGAAGCACAATTTCTTCAGTGACTTGTAGCTAAATTGTAGATGACTTTGTAGGTATGGCAAAAGGGTAACCCAAGGCAGTCACCTGGGAAGGAAAACTTTGGCCCATGGGGGTTGAGTTTTACAAAATTATGAGAAACTGAAAGCAGGGCTTTATAAAGGACTGAGTTAAGCAATCTTAGTAATTGGCAGTGTGATCAGCCCTGCCTGAAAAAAGGATAAGATTTTGGGATCATATTTCTAGGTGCCAGTTTGTCCCTGCAGTGATGGAAAGTTGCAAGAAATCTTCCCATCTTCATGATCTTCCTTGCTTCACTAGCAGACAATCCCATATTAGGGTTAGAGGGAAAGGTACAGCCCATGTTTCCTATCCATGTTTGCCTAGGGGTCTAAATATGCCCAAAAAAGAAGAGGCTACACAGAGAAGTCGAGGTTCTATTCCTTCTCTATACTGGACCATCAAGCTTGGTGGGTCCAGGAAGAGAAACAACCCACCCAGATGTATGAGCATATGGGCACCATATGAAACAACCCACCCAGATGTATGAGCATATGGCCACCAGTGATACTGCCAGGGGTGATCCTGATCAAATCAAGAGCAACTACAGGGCTCTGAGTGCAAGGGTGAAAAGGATGGGGACACAGGTGGTATGCTCCTCGATCCTTCTAGTCAAGGGGAAGGGTCCTGGGCAAGAGTGGACACGTCCTGCAGATCAGTGTTTGGCTGCTCAGGTGGTGTTGCCAGCAGGGATTTGGCTTCTTCTTGGGGTGTTGTTCCAAGAAGCAAGATTGCTAGGAAGAGATGGGATCCACCTGATGGAGAGGGAAAAGCATCTTTGCAGATAGGCTTGCATCTTTGCAGATAGGCAGAAGGGCTTTAAATTAGGGTTGCCAGAGGATGGAGATCAAAGCCCTGAGGTAAATGTGGAAGCAGGTGGCCTTAAGGAAGTACAAAGAGGAGGGGGCAATAGGGGAAGCCTCCTTATTCTTACTGAGAAAGTAGGGCAATCAGCTAGTTACCTCAGATGTCTGTACACAAACACATGGAGCCTGAGAAACGGAAAGAATTGAAAGTCCTCTCACAATCAAGGAACTATGACATGACTGGAATAACAGACTTGGTGAGAGACTTCGCATGACTCGAGTATTGTCATGGATGGGTACAAACTATTCAGGAAGGACAGGCAGGGGAGAAGGAGGAGGAGGAGTTGCGCTGTATGTAAGAGCTATATGTTGCTCAGAGCTCCAGTATGAAACTGGAGATGAACCTGTTGAATGTCTCTGAGTTGAGGTCAGAGGGGAAAGCAACAAAGGTGATGTTGTGGTGGGTGTCTGCTATAGACCACCAGGAAGATGTGATGGGTGAGGCTTTCTTCAAACAGCTAGCACAAGTTTCCTGTTTACAGGCCCTGGTTCTCCTGAAGGACTTAAATCACCCTGACATCTCCTGGGAGGGCAGCACAGAAGTGTGCAGGTATTCTTAGTAAGTTTTTGGAGAGCACTGAGATAACTTCCTGGCGCAAGGGTTGGAGAGACCAAGTAGGGACCATGCTCTTCTTGTCCTGATGCTCATAAACATGGAAGAATTGGTGGGGAGGTGTAAAAGTAGATGACAATTTGGGCAGTAGTGACGACAAGATGATCAACTTCGGGATCCTGACAAAAGGAAGGAAGGAGAGCAGCAGAGTACAGACCCTGGACTCCAGAAAAGCAGACTTTGATTCTCTAAGGGAACTGATGGGCAGGATTCCCTTGGATGCCAGTCTGAGGGAGAAAGGAGTCTGGGAGAGCTGGTTATATTTTAAAGAAACCTTTACAATATGTTTCTTTAAAAGGGCAGAGGAACAAACCATCCAGATATGCAGGAAGAACAGCAAATATGGCAGGCAACTAGCTTTGCTTAGCAGAGAACTTCTCAGTGAGCTTAAACACCAAAAGGAAAAAAGCTTAAACACACAAAGCTTACAAGAAGTGGAAACTTGGACAGATGACTAGGCAAGAGTATAAGAATATTGCTTAGGCATGCAGGGATGAAATCAGGAAAGCCAAAGTGCAACTGAAGTTGCAGCTAGCAAGGGGCACGAAGGATAATAAGGACGGTTTCTACAAGTATGTTAGCAACAAGAGTAAGGTCAGGGGAAGTGTGGGTCCCTTACTGAATGGGGAAGGGCAACCTAGTGACAGATGGGGAGAAAAAGGTTGAAGTACTCAATGCTGTTTTTTACCTTGGTCTTCACAGGCAAGGTCAGCTCACAGACTACTGCATTAGGCAGCACAGTTTGGGGAAATACTGAGCAGCCTTCAGTGATGAAAAAACAGATTAGGGACTCTTTAGAAAAGATGGACATGTACAAGTCCATGAGGCCAGATGCAGTGCATCCGAGGGTGCTGAGGGAGTTGGCTGATGTGATTGTAAAGCTGCTGGCCGTTACCTTTGAGAACTCA